TGGGGTGCTTTTCACCTCGGTGTGTGCAGTTTGTGGGAAATCCGAATCGCCCCCCTTGCTTTCTAGACACTGCTCACTCTTTTGGGAGTGTCGGGCTGGGTGCGGCTGGAGCAAAACGTCTTTCCCTTAATACAGACTGCACAACAAACCTGCAGCCCCTTCTGTCTGTCAGAAATCCTGTCCATGATGCCAATTTAGATGTCATGATTTGCTAATGCAAGTGGGGCTCATGAGAGGTTCGTTTGATCTCAGAGTGCAGAAGGACACAAAGGGATTTCAGTTTAAATCACAACAACAATAATGCACCTTGATTTTAGTGCCAACAACAAGGGTTATGCGATAGAGGAGAGAGAGAGAGAAATAAGGAAAACAAAGTAAAGAAAGAGAGAAGAGATTATAGCTACCAACAGACGAGACGGAGTTGCTGGGGTCTTTTTCTGTGGGAGATCTGGCCGAAATTATCTTAGTCTTATGTAATTCTTCCCCAAAGTGACCTTGTTTCCAATGTGCTAATAAGCACCCCAAAGGAGAAGTACCTGGTACGGGAGCATAGCAAAACCCTTCTCCATATTATAACTATAATATACCACAAATGCCGAACCTGCGACACTTTCGCAGTCGTCTGACGGACGGTGCCTAGGCTTTACCAAGAGGAATTCCTTTAGCCCAACCATGCACAGCTTTCACCGCGTCTAACTGGCAGGCACCAAAACCAAAGTAAAGCGCCTTACCTCTCTCAGAGGGACGTTGTGAGCAGCGCAGACGGTCGCGGCTGATGGGCTCCCCGAGAATCCCTCGGTGCCGGCTGGAGCGTGATCGGGTCGCGAGTTCGCTCAGCAGCACTCACAAGGTCCCATCTGGGTCGCCAAAATGTTCAGGAACACACATAACCACGAATGGTTATATGAAGGTGCTTTATTTAAAGAGCTCTGGGCGTCAGGGGTACACATACCCAAATCTGACCCCATTTGGGTTTTCGAGTTGAACATATTTTATACTCTATTGTTATGCAACTTACATATTAATTATTAAACTTACATTGTTCTATTGTATGCATTGTTTTTACCCAAGCATGGATTTCTCATTATCCCCCCTTAGCCCCCAAACATTGTTCCTCATGTTCTCTAAACAATAATTATATCTAATCACATCTAACAATTGTATCATTTATCATCTACTGATTACACAAGTGCAGCTTGACCTGGTCTTTAGCAAGCACAAGGCCTAACATTTCCAGGGCCTGCTTTTCCCAGGGCTTTCCAAACCTAACTTTCTTTCTAAGTCCCCAAATTTTCTAAGATTTTAATGCCTTTTACTATCAGCAGAAACAGCAGGGGCTGGGCAGGCCTGGAAGGAGAAAGAAGGTGGAGGGGGGGATTGTTTTGGGTGTCCCCTGGCTGTCACCTGTGTAATGCCCTGGCAACAGCAGCAGCTGCTGGGCTCCCACAAGCAGCCATGAGATGCTCCCTTTCAAAGGTGGTTGGGGTCCTGGTTTTCCCCTGAGGCACCCAAGCAGATGGTGAGGATCCCTCCCAGAGTGATCGGGTATTGAAAGGACCCAGTTGCATGGCTACACTTGTGAGCAGAGGCTCACCCACAGTAAACAGACACAGTGATGGAAAAGTTGTGCAATAGCAGTGGTTCCTCGGGGCAGCAGCAGTCCAACGCCAAAACCTCAACCATTTGCCCTTTGAGCCGTGTCCCCCAGCTAAGAGACAGCCACAACCCCACCACCTGTCCCTCCTCCCCCAGGCATGACTCCCAAATGCTCCTTTCCCTTGGCTGACTCCTTAGTGTGGGATGTAAGAGGTCTCAGCCACGTCTTGTTTCTTCATGACCTGTATTTTGCCCCTGGACAACCACTCCCTTCACAGAGTCTTTCTTCCAGATGGGAAACAATTCCCTAAAGAATCCAAAGCAAAAGAAGTGCCTCTACTTTGCTGTATTGAGATAAAATTAAATGCTAAAAAATAGCTAAAATATAGAATAAGAAAAAAATTTCTTAGCTTGTAATGGCCCAGCTCCTTATCAAATTCAGGGATCACTAAATTTCTAGCTAAATATGATGTAACTCATTTTCAACATGTAAACAAGACAGCCAGTCCTGTCCTGCTGGGTCCCAGCAGTGCCTCGCAGCAGTCCTGCATCCACGTCAGGATGCTGGCCAACACAGAGCTGTCCTGGAAACTAAGGCAGCTGACTTGAAGTTTGTGCAGGTACCCAAAGGTCAAACCCAGCGGTGTTCCCTCAGGATTTAGCAGTCCTGAGTGATCTCCCCTGATGTCACCCACTCCTTGTGGCACCAGTTGCTTTCCTGTGGAATGTTCTAGCTGCCCCAAGAGTAAAGAGGGAGCTGGAGAAAGAGCTTGCCAGGCTGCTCTCCATCCTTTCCCAGCAATCCTGGTTAGGGGGAGAAGTCCAAGCTGGCTCAAATGTGTAAATGTAACAGCTGTGCACAGGAAGGGTCAGTGGGAAGGATGATCCAGGAACCAGTGGCCTGGCAGCCTGAGCTTGCTACTGTGGAAGGCCTTGGGGCAGATCCTGCTGAGTGCCATCCCATGGCATGTGCAGGGAACCAGGGGGTCTGCTGGAGGGTGGGAAAGCTCTGTGGTGGGATGGGAACAGTTGAGGGTCCTGCTGGGGTGTTGAGGAGTTCTGTGAGTGTGTTTTGG